ATAAACCCAATACTTTTCAAGCCTCATTTCCCCTTCTTTTTTACTGAAACAGTTTTCAGCAGCCAATGATAATTTTATTATTGATTTCTGGAGATCATAGAAGCAGCAATGAGTAAGCACAGGAAAAGCACTCCAAATGAAAGCATCCTGCCTACAGATACTACCTTTTATCTACTTCAGAGATAGAAGATAAAACTTTCAACAAGGCCATAACTTTTGGAGAAGGAGAGTAGTCACAGCCGAATCTTTTCAAGCACAATTGAGTTTGTAATTCTTGTTAATTCCCCCTCCATCTGCCAATGGCCCAGTGTGAAATTACAGCCAGTTTGGGAACCCCACTGTTTTAGCTCTGCTCCTGTCAAGGGACATCTATCCATCACCTCATTGTGCAACCTGTCCCATTTAAGACTCCATAATGCCAAGGCTTCCTGCATTACTTGGATTCAGATCTACTAATTAAGTGTAGCTCACACTGAGTCGGAAGCAGTCAAATAAAATGCTGTGTGAAACTAATCTCTCTCTGCTGCATTTCCAATGGGCATCGCCAACTCCTAGTCTCAGGTGTCGCTGTGAAGACTCTCTACGGACATACCTTTATTTTTCTTCCTGCACTTAGCAATAAACACAAAACAGAGAAGGCTGTGAACCCTTCGCATTGCATGCAAGGTTTTCCTTTACCAAAGCACGGACAGTTTTGACAGCGCTAGTGAAAAAGGAAGGCAGACCAGAGTTGTTACTGATTGCTGGTCTTTCAGCCGGTCAGGATGAATAAACAGAGATGAATCATTCAGATAATAAAAGTAACCACTACTTAGCAAACAAAAATGAACTACAAAAGGACCCTAAAATCTCTCTAACTTGAGAATTTAAACTGTAATTTTAAAAAATTCTCCATTCTGCCCTGACAGCAAATGTAGACCTTCATGGGTATCTGCAGCCCCAGGTGTAATGCTGTCACTTCCCAAGGAGCAAGGGCACCGTGGGTAACCAGCACAGCCTCCCTCCCTTGGCTGGCAGGCAGCAAGGTCAGAGGCAGGGAATGAAAGGCTGCAGGGTGATGGCTGTGTAACATCACAGAAACTTGCCTTAACCTCTGCTAACAGCAAGGGCTGAAATAGCTGATGACTCTTGATTGTCAAGCCCTGACAGATTTAAAGCATCAACTATTTAAGTAAGCACAAAAACCACAGTTAAATGCTGCTGTTCTTCCTGCTCCTTCAACTTGCCTCCCAATAACACCTAGCTTAAAAGAAACACTCTTTGCTGTGCTAAATGTGACTTCTAATCTGACTGAGTAGGAAGTGGACAGTTAGCTTCATGCACAATACAGACTTCTGAGCCTCTAGGATTAGTGTATCCAGCACATTAACCTAGGGAGTCTTGGGAGTTTCCATACATGTAGGAGATCTAATTCACCCCATGAAGACACAATAGCAATCCTTTATGGGAAAACAAGGAATCTAAAACCTGTGAGAGTTACTTCAATTTGCTGTCATTTTCTTTTCCCAGAAGTCAAAATTAATTCTAGCTGTAATCACAATGACTAAAATTTCAGCAATTTAAGGTCCATTATTTCTCATAAGGAAACGCTAAAACCTTCAGGCTGTTCAAGACAAAAAGACTTTCTTTGCCCAACCCAGTCATTAACAACATTTCTCAACACTATGCAAGGAAAGACACAAGCACAATAAGAGAACATATGAGTTCTTTACAAGAATTCAAAGTTTAACCTAATTTTGACTTGAAAGCAAACAAAACCACTGTGGCAATGCTGTATCAGACAGCCTTGAATCTTTTTCAATTCTGAGTCCTTTAATTTAGTAACTCTAAGAAATACTACCCTATAAAATAATGCATGAAATTGTCTTTCACGTGCAATGTAACACAATGATACTAAAACTGCTCTCAGCTGGCAAGCTGACACTCACAGTCATGCTAGTAGTAGAACACACAATCACTGCAGCATGTGCGTAGTAGCTGTTACAATATACTTCAAAATGGAAATGCCATGTCCCTACAAAAACTAGATCATTCCAGACAGAAAACAGTGTTATTGTAAGTAGGTGTGTCCTTAAATTCATAAGGTACAAGAATAAAACTGTCTCAAGTTTCTATAGTTCAAAACACATCGAATGATTCTGACTTCTCTGGTACTGAACCACCTCCTAAAGGAAGACTTTTGGTGCTACTAGCGGCCATCAATTTGGGAAGAAGAGAAGCAAGTGACAAGAGTACCTCTTTACAAGACAGGTAATTCAAGGTGTTCCAAAATACTCATTCTTTTGAGATGTCAGAGTGTATGATTGTCAGCTATGGGATGAATGCCATCTGTCTATTCCTGATGTGAAAGTTCACAACAGAGAGTGGCCAAAGGACAAGGGTCAATGACTCTGCCAGCCTTCAGTCATTGAATAGCAAGACTGTGCTTGGGATATTTTTATACAACTTTACAGAAAAGTGACTTAGCAATGTCTGAAAGTAAAAATGCAGAAAACTAGCCGATAACACTGGAGATGCTTCTGTTATTTTCCTTGGCCTATTTACGTGTTTTGAATGGTCTCCAAAAGGCTTCTGCTTAGCATGCACCATCTGGTGTGCAGATACCATTTCCAGATGTTAAATTACAGATAAACTGGCTTTTTACATTGGTTTCTTTAGGTTTTTTTAATCAAGACAAGTAGCATGTCCATGTGAAAGAGTGGGTAAAGGATAACATTCCCAGGCAGAACACATGACAGGGTCTAACGAATACACTACAACATACTAATGTCATACTTTACTTGTTCCACTTCTTTGATATCATTTCCAATTAATGTATTATAATTGGAATCACATTCTAATACTACACTCTTTAAAGCCCCTATAATGAAAAAGTATTTTTCCTTGTATGTGACAGTTATATGTAGCAAGTAATGGTCAGATAATAAAAGCCTACATGGAGAGGAAAGGATGACTCTGAGACATAAGAAATAAACAGGTAATTTTCTATGTTAATTTCCTAGCCAAGTGAAAAAATGGTAAACAGTACTCACCAGGCATAATGCTTTTCATCTGCAAAAGGCTTTCCAATCTAATTACATTCTCACAACTCCTTGCAAAATGATTTGCAGCTATTATCTCTGTTGTACCACGGAAGAAGTCATAGGATATCAGCTTACACTAGAGTGGTCCAGATTTCCAGTTTTCTGGTCAGATCACATCCCTTTTCTTTTTCTGCACCATACCCTATCACTCAACTGCTCTGAATGCATCAACTTTGCCTACTCAACTGTAGCACTGTGACTTTCCAGCCTTGGAAGCCCCAGGTTTTCGTGTCACTGGTACTGTTTTAGGTTGCTTGAAACAATCACATCTTTTCCCTTCATCAAACCAAGCATCACTTTGTGGCTAACAACACATTTGCTCTGCGTTTACAGGAACAAGCAGCATTTGAGTAAATGAACAGTCAGATAAGTGAGGACAGTGCTGAAGGTCTCCTTCTGTCAGGATGAGAGTTAGCAACACACTTCATGCTCCACACCAGCCCCACCGGGATCACCTGAAGCCTTGGGAAGTGCCATCAGTTTGCAAAAGGCACAGAAGTTGTTTTTCTTTTGCTGAAGTGAAACCAACAACTTTTTTTTAAAAAAATTTATTCTTGAATAACTGTTTCTCATACACTCCTTAAAGGCACTGCCACAAGGCTCTCATAGCTGGGAAACACAAACCCAAAGTACATCCCTGCAGTCATATTGAGCACAGATTAACAACGATATACTTTGTGCTTTAAGAAATGGCAGGAACTTTAAACAGGGGTATAAATAAGGTGCTGAACAGCCAAACCTGTTATATACATCCACTCCTCACAGATAGCTGCTTAAAAGAACAAAAGCAAGTGATCTAAATATAAACTGCAATTACCTGCCACAGCCTCCAAAACTGCTCCTTGTAGTGCTGTGTTGAACCAAGAGCATGTGGAAACCTTCCTGCCCTTTGCCTACCCTCTGACCCTGACTCCTGTGACCCTCACACTGTCCCTAGCTGCATTTCTTGTCTCTCATTCCTCCTCAGTACACAGTAACTAGATAACCATAGCTGACATACTGCATTAACCTATTATTAGGTGACCCTGACACTCTACCTCACATCTTCTCAGTTCATATACACAGCAATTTTAAATTGACATATCAAGGGTGATAGAAACTTTTTATCCACAGCCTTGGAAGTGGTAATGAGAAAGAAGGCAGGATTGTATGTGACATCCTCAGTTACAGCCTAGGAAAGTGAAAGTGGGTTTTTTATCTCTTCCCTCCTTATAATACATAACATCATGCAAGTCTGACTATGCAGAAAATGGTAGCTTTACCCCTTCTCATCAAAAGTCTCAAGAAACTTTGTTGCATATTTGAAAGATGGAGAAGTCATGCAAACAATTTTATGAAACCAAAAGATCTTATGCAACCTCCCAAAGCTTATCTGTCATAAAGAATGACCAAAGCTTTCTAAATTAACTTGTTCAGCTGACACAAGCACTCCCCCTGACATGCCTCTTCCCAAAATGAGTCACTGATGTGGCCAATGGAGGAGAGGTAAAGAGGAAAACCTATTCAAAAATGACCCTCTCAGGATGTAGGAGAACCTGTTGGCTGAAGGTGTAGCCTGCTATGTTCACCAAGGGTAAAATAAATCACCTTGTTATTCAAAGCCAAGCTTCCACAGGGGGCATCACCAAAAACATAGTGGAATCTAAGGAAGCAATCACTTATTAAGCTTTGTTTCCTTGACACCCATAATCACTTGAAACTGTACTACAGTAACACGGCTTGTGACCAAATGCAGATTGCAGATAACAATTTAAGGGAAATCCCTAAAATGAAAGTGCAATGAATAGTGAAAGATATATTTGCTAATAGAAGAAGCACCTGCTAACTGGAGCAACCCAACTAGTAACTGGTTTTAGCTCAGCAAGAAGCAATATTCCAAACTAAGTCAGTGATCAAAAAAATTAAGAAGATACTCACCAGCCAGTGTATAATCCATATCAAAACCAAAGCACTTTATCTTTTCCATGGCTAAACTTCTGTTTACAAAGACCCTGAAAAGAGAGAAGAAATACAGCCGTAGGTATGAACAGCTTGGAAGTACTCATGTTTTAGAACAAACACATTCTGCCAGTTGCCAGCATGTCTGGCTCTTGTGGGTCAGAATCAGAAAATATACCTGAAAACAGAGGCAACTGTCATTTTTTGCCATGAGTTCTCCTGAAGCAAAGCCATGACTTTGCAGAGTTATTCTAATTATTGGCATGCTGTCCAAAGACATGCACGCATGCATGCACACACACACGGCTTCGCATGTGACCTGCAAAAATTCCTAAGAATAGAAGTGCAAAATCTCCTGAAGCAGAATCCAGACCTCAAAGGATACAAGAAGAAGTGAATGCAAAGCAATATAATTTGTGTGATTAAAACAAATTATTACAAAGAGGTAACAAGGAAAGGAAAAGAAAATAACGTTCCTGTGAATAAATTCACAGCATTTGAACCCTCTTTGGAACTATGTCTGGAAATTCAAAGCAAACCTAAGCAGATATGTTTCCACATTTACACCAATAGCCTTAAAAACATTAATACAGGTCTGAAAATCAGACATTGAGAAAAATTTTAATTTACAAGAACATGCTATTTCTATTGTAAAAATTTTTCTTTTTATTTATAACTCCTCTGCAACTCCTCAACAAAACTGTATTTTGTAAATTCCACTTTCACTATTGATTCTTATTGCAACAAGAATCTGAGCTGAATACTTCCAGGCCCTTTTAGATGACAACATTTTAATACATCATATTCAATTTAGTTTGAGTAAATAACATGGTAAAAGAAATAGGTCAGAGAATACAACAAAAGCTTTCCTTGCTTCCTGTTCCAACTATTACAGTAACTAAGCTGCTTATGTTTCCCCAAGACTTTATAATATAGCAGATCTGTAATTCAACAGGACTTCACTGTCTGTCTTATCTGAACTTTAAGAACGAGAGTCAGTACTCATCTGTGGGAGGGAAGCCGAGCTTTTCAACACCCATCTCAGACAGAAATCCCATGTACTGCTCGAGCTGTGCTGCCAAGACAAAATTCTCCCATATGAGAAAAGTCCCAGAGCCTTCACTTGCACTCTGAGTTCAGTACGTGAAAATCTCCAAATATTTAATAAGTGCATTGCCCTCAGCAGAGTAATTATCCTCTTAAAAACCAAACCCGGCAGCCCTCCCGGGTAGGAGTGGCGCAGGGACTGCAATACAGCAATGGAGACGGCAAGTGCAAAGCCAAGCACTCGTACATTCTGAAATGCTGAAAGAAACCACAGAGATTCTCTTCCACACATACATTCTGGGCAGGTGGCTGGCAAAACGAGCCTGTTTCACTGCCCCGTCAATCTGACGCAGCCCAAATTTTAACAGCAAACTGCTAACATCAAACTAACACACTCCTATGCAAGTGGTCTTACCTCATCTCTCACCGATGTGCTCCTTGTTTAGTTCGCAGCAGTCTGATTCATCTACTTGTCTGAATCATATTACAGAATTCCTTTAAAGCTTCCCTAGTACCGATGCAATTTTGCTTGGATCTGATTTGACTTCAGAAGATCATTATGTCTGAACCAAGCCTTAAAGTACTGTATATCTTCTTGGACACTGTTCTAGAAAACACATCTGTGGCTAATTTAGCCAGTCACTGGATAGCGTTGTTGTTCCACACAAATCCACTTGGAATACAGTTTCTCTGGCAATAGTATACTTTCCCCCTAACCTTGCACACCCTCTCTGGGAGTCACTGTTTCCTGGCAAAGCGCCTGCCTTTGACAATGGGGCTTGTCACTAAGGGGCCTCAGAGGCTATAGATGACGCTCTTTTCTGATAGATTTATGTATTACTTAAACAAGATGAAGTGATGGGATAAAAACCGGAAACCGGTAAAGAAATGCCTTCTGGAAATACAAGACTGGCTTGTAACTCACTAAAATTCTCTCCTGAAATAGATGCCTTTTGAGTACATGGAGCAAATTATCTTAATCTGTAGTTTGAATCCATGTTTGTCTTTTAACATCAAGATAGCTCTGATTTACAAGAGGCCAATGCGAAATGCTATTTGGTACTAAACACAGTCTAATCCTTTATATAATGAACATGATTACGTGCTGCTGCTGCTGCTGCCAGGAAGCATTATTTATTAGCTAATTCAAGCACATAATTTCTGATCTCGTGTTTTGTGCAGCTTGTTTCTGAGAGTGCAGAGCTTTAAGCAGGAATAACATAACTCCAGGAGCCACAAGCAACATTTTTTGTCTAACCTGCAGAGTCCAGTTCTGCTCTTGCCTTTAGGCTTAACCCCCAGAGCACAGTTTTCTGACTGTCTAAACAGGACAGGAATAAGAAGGGAAATTTAAAGAAGCTCAGAAGAGTATTTCAGAATTGCAACATTTTGGAAGTTTCCCAAATGAGGACAAAAAAACCCAAGTCCTAAGAGCTGGATGCACTTATAAAAAGGGTAATATGACAGTGTCTGTGAAAGGCAAAAACAAGGGAGCTGTGACCCAAGAGATCTCCTCCAGTCCAGCCTATGTTTAGATGATGACAACACCAAACTGACCAAAAACTGTGGAAAGATCTCTCAGCCTCTGACAGTTTTTCATCATTTGCTTTTGTAGTATTTACAAACTGAACACCAGGACTGAAAAAAAAAACCCCAAATCAGCACACATTGATACTGGAGATCTGGAAAAGTTTACTGAATGCAATGAAACAAACAACATCTATTAGCATATTTTTGTTCCAAAATAAGTCTTATGACTGAGAAATGAAAATTACTATACCAGCCCCTCTTGGTAACAGCTGGTGAAGATCTCTCTCCATCAATTTGTAAATATTGCCTATGACCTAGAAACTGCACGTGGCAGGTTCTAATCATATCCCAACAGTGCACAGGACCTGGCAGATTTCAAGGCATCCTACCAACTGATCTGACACAGTAATTACTTCATCCACCAGTGCTGGAGTGAAACAGAGCAAATATTTTAAAAAGCTAAAGAAGGCTATTACACAACATGTTCAGGACAGGAAATGAGAACACTTTAATCAATTTAAACTTGCATATGCCTTGGCAGATTAAATGACAGACTAAACACTGGCAAAAAGACCCTGAACCAACTTAACATCTCTTGTGAAGGCCCAGACAGATACTGGGTTATTTTGTAGGTGCTCAGGACCTCAACTATAACCCTGATAAAAACATCTCCCATGCATGGTGCTCCCCTAGACACAAGGGACTAAGCAGATACCTAAAAATATCTACTAGAAACTGACCAGCTTAATTCAGGGGCTTTAGTCAAAGCAGTAAATATCTGCAATATCCTAGAAACTAAAGACAGAAGTTGAGGTTAAATGACCAGGACAGTTTCTGGGAAGAGCCAGGTGCTTCTCAGAAGCTGCAGTCTTAGCCCTTTTCAAAGCTGTTCTTAAATCCTAATTGAAAGCATTCTCAGCCTGATTACAAGAATACTGATCAAATCACAGAATCACAGAAGGTTTGGGTTGGAAGGGATCTTAAAGATCATCATGTTCTAACCCCCCTGCCATAAGCAGGGACACTTTCCACCAGACCAGGTTGCTCAAAGCCCCATCCAACCTGACATTGTGTCTGTTGGCTACAAGAATGTAATGTCTCCTCAGAAGACATGGCACAGAGAAATGACAGGAGTTGTATTTAATGACTATAAAGCAAAAGCACCATGAGGACCCCAAGAACCCCAACCACCGGAGAAAAAAAGATTCTCTGCTCTTGAAAGGAAAGTATGAGATAGCAATTTTTTTACAGCTCATCTAGATAAAGAAAAATTAAAGAAGCTTTCAGATGACAAACAGAAGAGACAATGTCAGGATAACAGGAAAACTAAAATGATCCAACATTTTTAGGCAAGGAAGTTTTAATATAGAATTATTTTTTTCACTTGCCAGAATCAGAAGAATTCATACTTTCCCTTCCCCTGAATTTGGTTTTTTCCATTCAGAAAACAGTCACTTTAACCAGGAGCACTGGAGTTAAAAATTAAGCTGATCTAAAAATTTAACAGCACTGGGCAGTAAGACAAACCAAACTGCAGGCACAGTGTGAGAACACCCTCTCCAATCCTTGTGCTGAGAGGTAGAGGTGAGTATTGCCTAAACCCAGCTCCACACCTGTCTGCACCCTGAGCACCTCCTCAAATAGGGCACTGCCTCTCTCTTGCCTTCATCCTTTCTTCCTGGTGGAAACCCAAGCTTTACATTTCTGCTTTGAGGAATATCCCTGTGAGTCTCCTATGTTTTGCACTTCCCGTGCAGTGTGGCTGGAGCAGGCCAAGGTGTTGGAGCTTGTGGGGAAGGCAGTTAAGGACCATATTCTAGCCCCATGGGCTCCCTGAGCCAGCATGTGGCAGAACTGGGATTGGGGGTCAGCGCCCGGACTTGGGGTGGGTTAGCCTGGCACAGATCCACACTGTTAGAAAAATGGACTTGAGGAGCTGTTTAAGGGAAACCTTGAAGCATGTTTCCTCCCTAATGAGTTCTTCCTCAATGATTAAATGCTGCAGCTTGGCCACACAGCAGAAGGCCCTCAATGATGACAGTATTTATTTTCTTTCTGAGCTCTACAAATTGTGCTGGGTAAGAGAAAAATGTGTTGTATTGCAAGGAAGAAGGAACTGCTGAGCATGCATAAAGGGAGTCACAGAGCCCTGATATTCTCCACACTGCAATTCACAGTCCTTTATATTTTTACAAGAGAACTGATCTTGGTTTTGTTACTGTTCTTGTCAATCAATTCTGAAGCAGGAACCTAAATACCAACTCTTCTCAAGTAACACAGGAGAGGAGAGAGTGTTTTTATTTTATTTGTGCAAAATCTCAAAACAATTCTGTGCCCTGAATGAAATTTTCATGTGTAATAGTCTTGTAGTTTGACCAACAAATAAACAAGATGCACAGAACTTTATAACTAAGAAGGAACTTGGCACATGGCACACAGTTACTCAAAGAGTAAAGGATATACACCACTTTTCTAT